AATTAACGACTTTTGACTGTATATTATTTTTAGATACAGCAAGCTGTACTTTTCCTAAAACTAGTACTGGAAATTTGGTTTACTGAAAAAATTTTCTGCACAGTATGGTCTGATGTAATGAGATCACATAACACAGAATCCACTACAATGTAATACAAATTATTATACACACTGGTCAACACTTGGTTGCTGCACCTTTTTGTGCAGATAGCAGCATCACTGTATGGGAAGGGATTTGATGTGGCATTGAACGCCAGATGCCAGTACTACTGCCCAGCAGTTCTGCAGTTTTTGCCATAAATCTGTCACAGAACATGATGAGTGAAGAGACCATTGCATCTTGTCCTTCTGATGCTAAAAAAATCCTGTCTGGGAGCTCTGGATACATGATAAGTACTCTGAACTCTGCTATGCTTGGTGAACCACTCTTGTACAGCATGTAACTGATAACACATTATCTACTTAAAAAAGTGCATCTTCTGTGGGAACAAGGGCATGAAGGAATGCAGATGATCAGCCATCAGTTAAATGTAGCCTGAGTTCATAACGATACCATCCAGTATGATGAGAAGACCCAATAAAAACCACATAAAAATGTTCCAGACAGTTAAGGTGCTGTCATCAGCCTGTATAATGCTTGTCTAATACAAGCAATATAGTGCTTCATAATATAATAGAAGATTAAACAGAAGTTTATTTTGGGGAACTTCGAGAAATGCTACTGAGGTAAATCCTCCCCCCATAGATTTGCATGAACAAAATTTTGGATACTTTTATATTTATAATTAATAATTATGACTGCCATTAATAATATCTATCACTAGAAGATCATATTTTCTTTGTTAATAAAAGTTTTTTTATTCATTGATCCAAAAAGGATTCATGAAATTATGGTTGTATAGCCAGAAACTGGCAGAGGCACATATTTACGTACATTTTCAAAATGCTGCATGAACATATTTTATAAACACATTTTTCAAAATGATTTGAGTAGGGCAAAATTTTCAGTTATGAAAACTGCTATTTATTTTATCAAATGTTATTTAAAATAAATGTAATAGGATATGAACCATACCGCACAAATACTTCCTAAAATAATTGCACCAGATAAATTTTGTTTACAACTTAGAAGTAACACATGAAAAACAGGTACTTTTCCATTAAAGCCCTTTTTTCAGTACTGTAGTGCCACATTTAGGCTTATTTCTTTCCGTATGTTTTTGGTCTGATATTAGACAAAAGGGAACAATTGGAAACAGCAACAAGGAATATTCTCTAATTTCACAACAAAAATCCTCCAAAACACCATTAAGACTGAAAAACCTGGCCTCCATTATTTTTTTCTTTTTGAGAATAAATTTTTATCTTCTTATCCTTTACAGCCAATTTCTGGCCAAGGTTGTTGAAATCAACTTCTGCCATCTTAACCCATCCAACACCACAGTGCTCCACCTATTGACACCAACATTCTTTAACCACTTTTCCACATTGTCTAACCACCTTATCCATGGCCTTCCTCTCCTTTTTTTTTCCCTCTGGCTTTAGGAAATGTCAGTTTCTTCACTGGGTATTCATTTCCATATCAGTATATATGGCCTAGCCATTTTAGTTGAGAGATTTTAATAATTAAGGTAAAATAACGCACCGAACAAATATTAATTTAGAAGTCAAACAACAAAAATCAGTGTTTTATTGGCAATTTTCCACAGGACTAGTTCCAATGGTTTTACCAAACCATCTCCCTCAGCTGCTAAAGTGCAAATGAATGAAATAAAATACTGTGACAAGATAAGCATGGCTGAACAGGGGTTAAGTTACTTGTGCCATCTATTGATGAAACAAACAAACAAAAAAAAAATCCTTGAAGGTAAAGATGGATTGGAATTATGGTTGTTAACTAGAAAAGAAAGATTTTTAGGGGCATTTCACATTCAAGGTCTTGTACAACTGTATTTTAGTTTTACTACTTTGGTATTTTGATCTAAACTGGTTTCATAATCTATAATAGCATCTGTTAGCCAAGTTGATTTAGTCCTTGATTTCAATAGAATTTCTTGATCACCAATTTTTAAGGTATTCCCAACTCCAGCATTGCCTGAAACTATTTCGCCTTGCTAAGCAGTCTTAAAAATCAATGAAAAGGTGATTCATATGTATCTATATCCTATTACAGGGGTGGCCAAAGTGCGGCTCGTGAGCTTGATACGGCTCTCGCAGGCAATTTGTGTGGCTCTTGCATATAAAATATATGTATGAAATATGTTAAACTAAAACTATTCAGTGTCCAAAAAGAAGTAATTAATTAGTTTAAACTCTTTTTACAAGGGATTATCAGGGATTTTATCAGGGATTTCTTTCTATTTAAAACCTCCTCCACTACTTCTATAATGATGTAAATATGAACTTGTGGCTTTTAGAAAATCTAGATGTGGCTCTCGAACATTCCTGAATTCAAACGTGCGGCTCTTACTGACATGAAGTTTGGCCAACCCTGTCTTATTATCTTGTCTTTTCGAGTATTTACCTAATACTGTGCACATGGTTGGTAGTAGATTTACCCTTTTGGAATTAATGCAAATATTCTTCAATTATTATTATTATTATTATTTGTAAAAGCAGTTACCTGTATTGATAATATCTTATAAAAATTGAGGATAACCATTTGAGAATATCTCATAAGATGTGTTACACAATGTGATTCCTCTGTAGTTATCATACTCCAGCCTATCTTCATTTCCATATATTGGGCAGATGGAGCAGTTTTCCCATTTTGTGGGGACTTTTTGCAAAGTCCAAACATTGGAGACAATAGTGTGTATTTCATTGGTCACTTTAGTAAGTTTTTATCAGTTTTCACAAATTTGTTGTATTCATCAATTTAAACATAACAAGGATTTGGCATGTATCTCTCTTATATAAATACTCGAATCATTAATTGTATTATGATTCATGTAAAATGCATCTTGGTTCACAAAGCTCAGTAGTCATAACTGTTGATGCCATAAATAAACGAATCATCTGGTAACAAGGGAGAGTGAGATTCAACAAACCCTACTTGTTTGGATGCCTTTTTCTCCTTCGCACGAGCAAAGGCTACATCACCATGCAACATTTAAATTTCATAAGGAGATTAATTCAGCACAATTTTTACTTGTGAGAAACATCTTTCTGGAAGAAAAGGCTAGTCACTTTTCCATCTCTCAGCAAAATCCAAATCATGAAATCCATAGCAACAATAAACTAGCCCCCCTTCTTTATATGAAAAACATTTTTATAAAAGACACTCATTAATTATCATCAGGAAAGAAGCCAAACAAAAACTCTCAACACTCGATACCAAGGAAATAGCCAATATGAAAAAAGCATCAAGCGGTATGCCTTTAACAAAAAATCTGATGTGTACACCACGACTTCCTTGTACGGAATATTAAATTATACGCATTTTTTCTTGATTTTATTTAAACTTATTAGATTGAATTAAACCTACTTCGCCGACAGCGCATAAACCACAATAGAATAAACGCATTCTTTAAAATTCACTTTGTTTACCATAGCGACACTCTGGCACTAGGTTTACTTAACAGTATTATATTTCATTCATATTATAACTCAGAATGCACAAAATGTATATCATTTAAAGAATTACCTAATCATTGCCACATGTTCTATTCAAATACTATAATAAAGCTAGAACTATGTATAAAAGAAATTAAGCAAATAAAACAAAAAAGAAACAGTTTTTCACAGACGATTAAGTATTTCTCATTTAATTAATTCAGTTCTTACTTCGCGAGAAGGCAAAAATACATAAAAACTCAAAATATCTATATTAAAAATTACGAAGTAAATCTCAAACGCTTATTTCCTTGAAAAAAATCTAGAAAGAATTAAGCATGATTTAATTGGCAATAATAAATGAATGCGTTATCTTTGTTGTTGGGAAGCTAAGTTTCTCTAGATTGGCAACAAATCCACTAGTCTCCTGTTTCAAATGTAAACATTAATGGCCGCTATTAAAACAGGCTTAGCGGCAACTAAATAACTTTAAAATTGCTGATAATTCTAAAAATAGTGCACACAGATTTACTAAAGGCATAAAATCCTTAATCGGAAGATAAAAACAATATAATTCAATCATTTTTAAAGAAAAAATGTACAATTTACAAACATATAAGAGTAAAGAAACTGAGATCACTGAGCCGGATAATAGAGTGGATATATATATAAATAGATTTATATACGTTTGGTGCGGCCGATTGCCAACCAAAATACGAGGTGCACATCTACATGTTATAGCAGTCCTATATACAAAATTTCAACCTTCTGAGGCTACTCGTTTTTGAGTATGCGAGATACGTACGTACGTACATACGTTCGTACAGACGGCAACGAAAAATTCTCTTCAGAATTCATTTAAAATTAGTTTTACAATTTTTGTGGAAGGAAAAAGTATTTTATTCTGTCCTTACGTACAATTGTCATGCAAAACACGTTAAATTGCATTCGTTAGCAGTGAAAATGGATATTTGCGTTGAAATATGCTGCCTGAAACTTTTCACGATTACAATACTTCCTTTTTACTTCGTACAAGGAAGTAAAAAGTACTAGAAAATTATACTTATCAATAGCACATTGATAGGAATAGACAAGAATTACAAAATACAGTTTCCTTATCTCCGTAGGCACAGCTAAATGTTGCAAACAAACCAGAGAACATTTTTTTTTAATGCTAGAAAAAACTGTACCTAAAAATTGTTGATAAAAAATAATATTTATTTAATTGTTGATGCTGGCAGCAGAACCACACACAGCAATAACAAGGAATTAGAAATTTAATTAAGTTTTAATGATAAAATTATTTGAGATAGTTACAAAAGCTATACAGATGTAAAAAATATGCATAAAAGAAAAAAAACACAAGCTACACCAGTTGACAATATTGTTCTCATTATGGATTGCAATGTGAAAAAAATTAACTAATTAAAAATGTTCAACATTACCACATGGTAAAACAATTATTCCGGATCTTGCTCTTCCATTACCAAACATTTTCCTTAGACTCTTTTCTTGATAAGGTCGTAAAATTGCCAATGGTCTTAGATCTAAACTAAAAATAAATAAATTTATTGACTTTACAAAGTAACTTACAAAATAACTTGTTAAAAATGTTATTAAAACTCCAATAAACTGTAATTGAAAAATTAATATACACACATTTTACTAGAAAAGAAAACTCTTTAAAGACTTAAAAAAAAGGAAGGAGACAGAGAAAGTGAAAGAATTCTGAACTTGCTTACAGTTCGAGTCTGAAAAGTTGAGTAACAGTCTAACTTACCAGAATTTGTTTAACCATAATGATGAAGAACTGCATCATAATTCCCCAAATCAATCATCTCAATTTTTTTAAAGACTTTTTATTATTTCATCTTTTACAGGTAAATACACATTTTTCAATGCAAGCAAGTAATCTCAGTATATTACATATAGAAATAATGGATATGAAATCTCACCCAAAAGTGACATCAGATACTAAACTTCCATGAAATCTTATTGATTCTATATCTAATAGAGTGCCTGATGCCTTTCTTTTGAATGGACCACTTACAGTGTTAAACTAAAAAATATTAGAATTGAAAATACAATTCAATAAGGTTCAGTAATCCAAAAAAATCCAGTACATATCATTTGAAGAAGATTGGATATGTACGTTGCCATGATGCATGGGTACCTTATACTTAGCAAAACACGCTTGCTCGAGTTTTGGCATTTTGTTCTTTACTGAAAAGAAATTTAAAAAAAAACTCTTTTTTTTTTAATGGCTTATTAAAGAAGTGGATACCATACAATAATGTTACAAGAAAAATATCATAGGATAAGCCAAAAGAACCTCCTTTAGTAAATCAAGAGGGGATTTCTGCCCCCAAAAAGTAATGCTTTGTGCATGAAAGAACTACAAATGACTGTATACTATGAATTATTGCTACCAATCAGACCATTAATTTGGAAAAATATACAGCAGTTTTAAAAGTAGAACTAGAAGCAAAGTACCCAGAACTGAACACTTGTTGAAGTATTGTCTTCCATCATCAAACCCACATTTCGATTAATGTCAGAGAAAGACTTATTGAGCATGGCTGGGATGTTTTGTGTTCTCCCTATTCATCTCACTACCTGAAATTTTCATCTCTTCAGGTCACTTCAAAATTCTCTGTGGATTCAATTCCTTGACAAACAGCATCTTGAAAACTTCTTTACAAATAAACCTAATGATATCTTAAAAAAAATTTTTTTTCAGCTGCCTGAGAAGTCATAGATCAAAATAATGCTTATGTGATTCAATGAAATTTTCTTGTATTTTTGTAGTGCTCCATTTGTATTTACTATTAAAAAACTGCAGAACTTTCTAGAAAACCAATATAAATCACAAGCTGTAAAACATTCATAAAATTTCAATATCTTTCAAATAAACTTCGTCTTTCCCAGAGATAAAATTAATGACTTTTATATAATTATACATATGATTACATTTTCCTTTCTTTGTTTTTTTGTGTATGTGCATGTGATAGATTCCATTTCAAAGTACTTAGCTGTTTATACAGTATCTCTACATAAGGTTTTTAACACTTTTGAACTTTGAATCAATATTTAAGTTGGTAAGAAAAATAACTTGCACACATTTTAACTACGCTTTCCTTTAATTCTAACTCACTTACTTAATATCAGGATTCACGGTGTCATTTTTAAAATCATACTCAGCAAGAAGAGGATATTCCAATTCAATGCATCTGGAATAAACAGAGAAGGACATATAACTATTAAGAACTATCACATTTAATGTGTACAACATGAAATACTTTTCTCACAAAATGTAATTTAAATGATTACATTTGATTCCTGCATTTTATTTATAATTTAAATTCTTTTTATTTATTCATAAGGGTGAATATAAAATGAAACATCTTCAATGATAAGAAGCAATCTATGCTGTCCTGAATTAAATAATTCATCACTGCTTCTACAATAAAAAAATGTTCAACTGTTTATGAACTCATGAGCTTGGAAAATTTTTGTTTTAATTTCTGAGTTTTTTACTAAGTCTCCATTAAAGGTACATAACTTGCTGCATAAAGCATTTGGTGACAAATCCATTAGGAAGTAAAAAGAAATCTTTTATAGGAATTCAGTGTAAATCTGGACTCATTTGTAAATAACATATATAGTACAAAGTCTGAGATCCGGACATCCAACATCCGGAATGATCTAAAATCTGGACCTCAAAACCGCCAACAATTTTTTTAAAATGCTTTATGGATGAGCATTTGATTTCCCCCCATAGATAAAACATGTGGAGAATCCCAATTCTTAATTTCCCTTCGGCACTAAATAAATACTTCGTTATTGAAGAAACATTAATTTAGCATAAATTTGTGTGATGAATAATTTGGCTCTGCTTGTCACACATTTCAATCAAACCGAAACATTCTAGATAGAAACATCGTTGATTTTACACCTACCAACATTTTATATCAGTGACGCCAACCTGGTGAATCATTATTTATTATATTTTGCTTTCAGCACCACATGTTTATCAACACATAAATTGAGTAATGACTCACGAAGCGATGCCCAAACATTTTTTTTTATATTAGTAATTTTTTATATTGGTACAAAGAGTATGGTAATCTTTTATGTTGACATTCTTACACTTGCCAATGATTACAGATCTAAGTTAAATGCACTAAATACTGACGAGGAAAAATTTAACAAAAGTTTCTTTCCATTATGCTAAAAATATATTTTGCTAATGATACTCATAGGCTGAAAGATTACATTTAGTGCTTTTTAAATTCAGAATAACTGATTTGTTTTTCACGTAAACCCAGAACCAGTGCCTGAGCTCGTATGACCGCATCAGGCGGCAGAATTTTGAGAAGACAATATTTTTGGAATTTAAAGAAGTACCAAACAACAAAATTAAAGGATGAAAATATTTTTAGAATTTAGAGAAAGCACTGGAATCCAAAATTTAGAGACTGCAAAAATTTAGACTTTAGAGGGAGACGCTTGGTAGCCAGAATTTAGGACCCATCAGGTGGTAAGATATATAGTGCACGATATAAGCAAGACAAAATTTAGTGAAGCAACTTGTCTTTCATTGCCAATCTCATGATACATAGCCAATAATGTATAGCAGACGCTATAAGGCCAGGCTAAAATTATACTTTATTGATTCCAAGGAATTTCAGCCAATATAGCGGTTTGCGCTGTTTTTTAACTTTCTCATTTGATCCAGCTTAATTATTTTTTGCAGGCTGTTTTTATTACAGCAATTTGATGAAAATTAAAGTTTCAACTTTTGATCATGTCAAAAAGAGTTTCTAATTCTGAAGCTGCAACAGGATGTACCAAGTGAAAGCATGTTTCGATGTCCATTAAGCAAAATGTGGAATTGCTGGAAAAAAAACGATAAAGGTATATCTGTCTCAAAATTACACGAGAAGAATGGCTTTGGAAAGTCAACTGTACATGAAAAAAGGAACTTTTTGAATTTTTTGTGTCTGACACCCTGCTTGCAACGAATAACAGAAATACGATTTGTTATCCTAAAGTGAAGATCACAGCAAAGTGACAACTGAATGGGTAAGACAGCCTAGCAGCGAGGGCATGCCATTGACAAGTAAAATGCTAATGATGCAAGCTAAAATATTTCACTAAGAAATGAACTTCGAAACTGAGTGCACATATTTGACAAGTTGGTTAACCAAATTAACGAAAATCGCCATGGTATAAGACAATTAAGAATTTCAGGTAAAAAAGCTTCAGCTGATACTGAAGCTGCTAAACTATTTGCAGATGAATTCACTGAACTCAGTTATCTCCAGAAAAAAGTTAAGACGCTGATAAAACTGGTACTTTCTGGCAATATGTACTACAAAATACCTTGGCAACCTCTATAAAAAATCTGATGTGTGCACCATATAACTTCCTTGTATGGAATATTAAATTATACCCATTTGTTCTTGCATTTCATTTAAACTTATTGGATTGAATTAAATCTACTTCGTCAATAGCGCATAAACCACAATAGAACAAATGCACTCTTTAAAATTCACTATACTTGTTTACCATAGCAACACTCTGGCCCTAGGTTCACTTAACAGCATTACATTTCATTCATTTTTTAACTCAAAATGCACAAAATTTATATCATCTTAAGAATTATCTAATCGTTGCCACATGTTCTATTCAAATATTATAATAAATCTAAAATGATGTATAAAAGAAATTAAGCAAAGAACAACAACAACAAAAAAGAAACAGTTTTTCACAGACGATTCAGTATTTCTCATTCAATTAGTTCAGTTCTCACTTCGCAACAAGGCAAAAATACATTAAAACTCAAGATGTCTTTATAGAAAATCATGAAGAAAATCTAAAAATATAAAATGAGATTATTTTTAGTGGCTGTGCATGATTTTATTTATTTGTGAACCATAGTATGAATTTTCTGGATAGTGTGTGTCTGGCTGTCATATAAATACGATAGTGATTACATGGCAGCATGTTAAAGGCGGTATGAAACTGGTATTTCTGCTGTTTGAAAAAGCATTAATTCATGGTAAGTGCATTTTATTTTATTCTTGTTCATATTTTGTAGAATGTTATGTTCATTATTTTTTTAGTATGAATTTCTGTCTTTATTGTTTCTTTTTTTTTTTTTTAAATTGTTTGACATTTATTTTAGTTTATTTTGTTGATTACTGCGTAGCATATAGATTGTGCAATTCGTAGATGTTTTTTTAAGTTTAAACAGGATGCTGTGTACATGGTATTCTTTGAAATTTATTGTTGTTATGTTAATTTATTAAAGCGAGGTGGGTGTGCGTAGTTCGTAAATTCGTTTGTCGCCTAGATTGTGCCATTCGTAGATTTTTTTTAAAGTTAAAACATATCGCTGTGTACATGGAATTTTGTCAAATATTTTTGGTTAGAAACTTTCTGTTTTTGCTATCTAATTTTTTTTGTTTTTGTTTCTGATTTTTAGTTTAAATTGTGTGTCAAAATGTGGTTTCTGCATATGCGAAACCACGTTTTTGGAGACATTTTAAGCTTTTAAGTTTGAAATGTAGACAAAAAATTTAGATAGTCATATGGCAGCGTGGAGTTTCTCACCAAAAATGCTTGGCGAGAAATTTGGCGACTTGAGGGCACATTTCAGAGTAGTTCCTAAAGCTTTTATCATTATTATTAGAACAAATTCATATAAAGCACAAATTCTACTTAACCAAGATGTGTTTTGTAATGCACCAAAATAATTCATAATTTTTTTTTATTTACTTAGCTGTCACATGCAAATAAATAACAAATGCAAAGAAACATTACTAAAAATATACGGAAATCATTCTAAAATAATTTTTACAAAAAGTCAAATTTGATTTTGATAATGATACACAACATATAACCTTTTCTGAAGCACTTCAATCTTTTCTTGATTTATTTCAACAGAAACAGTTTTCATATCTTCTTTCTCTTCATCCTCTCTTTCTAATTTCTCATAAAAATTAAAAATATCATCAGGGACATCAGCATTTTTCTCAGGAATAGATTCTGAGTTTTTACTGGAATTGGCCCCATTCTGTGAATTTATCTGTGGGGCAAAAAAATCATGAAAATCAGAAGAGATACGAAGGAATGTATTAAACAGAAAAAAAAAATCAATTAACCAAACATGGTCGGGGAAGGAAATCCACAGAAGATTAATTTTTTTTATGAGTAAAATTTATTTTACCCTACTTCACAGATAATATAAAATACAGGAATATAAATAAATGAAAATTAACTCATAAAACAATACTAGATTACAAATATAATACTACTACTTTAACTACTTTAAAAGATAACATTAAAATACAAGATTATAAAGAAATGAAAATAAAATTCCATAAAAAGATACTATGTTATTAATATAACATTATTACTTCACAGTTAATAGAATACAAATAAATTAAAATAAAATCATCTAATACTAATACAATACTAGATTATTATATTATATATTATATATATGATAATATTATAATCTAAAATATTCATACAGTTTCTAAATAATTTTGCAGTATTCGCATAAATATAAAAACATACTCCTATATCATTTTTTGCAGTTTCTTTGACAGCTGAAATGCTTCCAATTTCATCAACATCTCGTTTTAACCGGCATTCTTGAATAACTGGGTCTTTTAGCAATTTTTGAAGAACTTCCTAAAAAAATGAAAAATGAACAAGATCTGGTAAAAATTCTTTTAATTATCTTTTGAAATTCTCTGTAAGCATATTTTACAAATCATACTGATAAATGACATGTATCAAATTTAAAATTTGAATTTAATTGACATTTCATTTTTTACATACTTTAATATGAGGCATTAATTGAATTCAATAAGAAAACAAAAAAGGAAATTAGAAAAAACAATATGATTTTTTTTATTGACCCAACATAAAAACCTCTGATTCACTATAAGAATATGAGGAATGATTTAAGATTAATAGGTGTACTATGATGACATTGAAATTTTGTTTTTAAGAAGGGAGAAATAAACTCAGAAAATTAATTAAATTTAGAAAAAGAGTTAAATGTTATAGAACTCCAATCTGCAATAGTGGTTGGAAAATCTGCAATAGTGGTTGAAAAATAAGCATACGAGCTATTTTTAAATTTTAAGCTACTTACCTATTTAAGCCATTTTTTGGTACTTATGTATTAGTACAATCACATTAGTAGAGTTTCAGAATATGCCAAATTCTGACAACTGTGTACATAACAATTCTTCAGTTTTATCAAGTATCATTGCCAATTTCATAAGCATTCTTTTTGTTGCAGAGCAAGTTCCAATGGATTTTATAGATAAACTGTGGTATTTTCCTTAACTTAATTTAAAAATAAGAGCTTGTGAGATTTGCTTACAATGAAAAAAGGTGTGTTACAATTTCTGCAGGAATACAGTATTTTTGGTCAAAAATTTCTAAAAAGGGAAAACTGCTTTGAATCTACCTTTAAAGTTATTGCCACAACATTTCTGCTGATAAATAAATTGCGCTGAGGTGATTGCATTAGTATATAAGTCCACATTCTTTGAATATGCATATTATTCAATTATTAACTAACAAATATAAATCTAAGGACAATCATAAAATACATTAGAACACTAGTTTTCTCAATAAAATGCATCTTTAATAATAAATAATGCTCATTTCTGTTATAATAAAAAATACATTAAAATAATAAAAATTATCATAAAACTCTCTGGAGTAAGGCTATTCAAGAAGTGAAGTGAATAAAATATTTAGTGGACAAAAAACTACAGTGAAAACAATATATTTCCTATATATCCAGAAAAAATGAAAAAGTTCTTCTTGGTTTACTTGTAATTTCAAAGGACACTTATGGGTTTAAAATAGATGCTTTCAAACTGATTTATAACCAAGACATTGACCCTTTCAAACTGATTTATAACCAAAGCATTGTACCACTCATTTCCTATGCCTCAAGAGTTTGGAGAAATTTTTTAGGAAGAAAATAAATTGCAAGCGTCTTAGAAGAATAAGATTTCTCCTTCCCATCATTTTGGGTTACAGAATTGTTAGTTATGAGGCAGTTATTATCACTTCTGGTCTTCCACTTATTGATTTAATGATTTTAAGCGATCTTGATGTCAGAGACAAAGTCAAGTGACAACCTTTACAATGCCTTGAATGGGATGCTTCCTTTTTCTTTGCCTCATCCTTCAAATAGAAAAGTGACAATGATGTTTTCAAGAATTCAGAACTACTGTAATTTCCGGAAGAAAGGCCGCATCAGCGTAAACGCCGCACTCGAGAAAAATGGCGGGAAAAAAATTAAAATTACACAGAAATGCCGCATCAGCGTAAATGCCGCAATAGATTAAATTACGCGTGACATCGTCATGGGCTGTATAGATGCAAAAACTCAACCTAAGTCCTGATATATGACATACCAGTTAAGAAAAATGCATGCATGAAATGAAACCATAACTCAAAAATAAATTAAAGTAAGAAATGTATAGCTTCTGTGCCGTTTAGAGACATTTTCAAAAATTTTCCGCTCCCTAATTAAAAACTATCCAACAAGTGCTTGTACCCTAACTGATGGGATCTGTATTTGGCAGAATGCCAAGAAAAATCCATTCATGCTGAAGGGGAAATACGTCAGAGTTCGTTATTACGAGGCAGGTGGGAGTCGTGTCCGCCTTTGAAAAAAATTGCAGAAAAGGCAGAGGTGGAAAGAGGATGGGTCCTGGAAGATTCATCGAATGGCAGAGGAGAGAGACTATTCAAACTGATGAGAATGTTGATTTGAAAAGGGGAAGAATGTTATTGTTCTGAGATCTCGTTTAGGGTGAATAAGGCAGTAGGTCCGTTCAAGGGAAAGAACGTAAACAAAATAACGTTCGCAAAAAGCAACTGAGTGGTCTTTAGTGTGGGAACAGCACCAATCTATGCACAATGACAAGGCCATCCAAACTATGTACAATGACCACCATAGGAAATATTTTATTTTTAGTGCACCTAAACGCCGCATGGGTAGAAACGCCGCACCCCCTGAAAATTTAAGTTTTAAACACGTAAACGCCGCGGCGTTTCTTCCGGAAATTACGGTATTTTTTTCATGGATGGTAATAAAATGAAAAGGTTAGCCTTGCATTTGTAATCTATAAAGACAGCAAAGAGAACGCAATTGTCCAATATAGACTACCAGACGAACGTTCTGTTTTCCAGGCCAAACTTCTGAATTTAAATCCTGTAGTTAAATGGATTAAAACTTTTTTTTATTGACTGAGTTTTTGAGATTGAGATGGTTAAATATTTTATTTGTACACATTCACTTTCTTCTTTGTGATTAGTATCAACAGAAAAATTGGTAGTGCAAATTCACTCCATATTATATGTGTTACAGAAAACAGCAGATATTAATTTTACTTACATTTAAAGAAACAGTGGTATTCTCAATAATGAAAGAGCTGACCAATTGGCTAAGAGAGCGACTTATTGTAATATTGATTTAATGATGCCTGTTCCCAAGTTTTATTGGAAGCATGCTGCTCGGGACAAAACTGCAGTTAACTGAAATGTTGAATACCTTGATTCTTTGAAGGCACAGAGGACAGGAGTTTTTTCCAATATTTTTTAGCGCTTTTCAGCTCATGTTCAAATACAGTTATTAAAACATTTATATATTTCTGTTTCCATAATTATTTTGCATCAATTTTATACTGAAAACTGAAGAATCAAATAAATACATATTAGAATAAAACAATGCTTTTGTCTTGAAGAGAATAGTCTTGAAATGACGCAGTGCAGAGAGGGGGGTTACTATTTTTAGAATTTGAGAAGGGAAATTTATGTTGCTAATTTAATCTTTAACATATTCTTAATTTTTCTTACACACACACACATATATATATACACACTATGTTACTTGGCTCAGTGAGCTCTGTATTTTTTATTCTTATATGTTGGTAAATTGTACATTTATTGCTTTAAAAAATGATTGAATTATGTTGTACTTATTTTCTCGTTACGTTTTTATGCTTTTAGTTAATCTGCATGCAACAGTTGCAGAATTATAAAAAATTTAAAAGTTGTTCAAGTGCGACTATGCCTAATGTTTCTTATTACAGCAGCCATATTTGTTTACATTTGAAACTTTAGCAGAATAGTGAAAGTCTTTCTGCACCTTCAGTGTCTTTTTGCCAAGTGGGACCAAAATTAAACCTTCATTTTTGTGCACCGAAAAATCTGCCTTGTTGCCTGCTGGCTGAATTGCCTGTTTCTGCGTAGAAACTAATTTTAATTGTAAAAATTGTTACTTTTTTAATGTTTCGACTGCATTTGGTGTTTTATTTTTTTCTATATTTTTCAATTTTAAATGAAGATATTTTGAAGTTTTGTGTATTTTTGTCTTGTCACGAACTGAGAACAGAATTAATTGAATGAAAATATACCTGTAATGAAATTCAATAAAATAAGTTTAAATAAAATGCAGGAAAAAATGCATATAATTTAATATGCCATACAGGGATGTCATATGGTGCCTTTTTTGTTTATCTTGTGTACGTGTGATTGAAATAGACTCTAGATTGACAGACAAGAATTCAAAACCACATTTTGTAATAAATTTTTGCCTACCTCTCTGCGTATTTTTGTAATGGCTAACTTTTGGCTAGCAATCGGAAAATACGGAGTTCGAATTTCAGCAAAAACAAATGATTTTTCCAGTTCTGCCTCTGATAAAAACCTAATAGCTCTAAAATTTAATTAATAACATGCATTTAAGTATTACCTGGCCATTATTATTATTCTTCTTCTGTAAAGTTCAAAATATGATGATTACATCTTCACATCAGATTTTTAATATCAAACATGGTAATGTTATTTTTAATAATACCTTTAATGTAGCTGAGATTAAAAGAGAAAACTTCTCATATGAATTTCCAAAAATCTACCAAGCTACCAGTAGCATGCAGTTGATGATTTAGGAATCATTAGTTACAACATGAAATAAAATGAAAAAAATGTGTTCAATTTGCATTAATTCTTACCGGAAATGGACTTTCAACAAAATATCGATTATGCTTCAAAACAAGCTTTATTTTCCCATAGCTTACAGTACAGAGCTGAAATTCAAAATATATATATTTATATTTCAGTAGAGATAAGTAGCTTGATTTAAATTTTGAAATGAAAATATAGAGTGCGTGTAATATTTAAATGATAAATACTTTAATGAATTCAATAATTCCATCAGGTATGCTTGTCTTACTTAACCTTCTCAAATATTCAATAATATCATTAGTTTGCAAGCCAACAGATACCGCAGCATATAAAGAATATGCAGTAAGGCGATATTCATGAATATGTTCTGGACGACAAACAGGCTAGAAAAGAATAAAAAATTTAAACATTTTTATTGTTCCCATACATTTATAAAACAATTTCTAACTTCATAACAACAACAACAACAAAAAAAAAAAATTAAGTAAACAAAAAATATATCTAAAAATAATTACTGTATTTACTCGCATAATAGTCACACCCCCATTTTGAAGCGGAAAAATTCATCAAAAGTGTACAATATTGTGTAGAAGGTTTCTCCCGCATAGTAGGCGTACCTAGATATTCGCAATGAAAAATCGGCAGAAAAAGTGTGACTATTACGCGAGTAAATACAGTAGTAAGGAATTAACTGGAACTAGTTATTTATGAAAATATTTACTCATTGCTATTTTAAGTTTAGTATCTTAAATATATATAACCAGCTGGAGATATCTGCTTAAATCACATTTATGAGAGAGAAATCAAAACTTACTTCTGAAATGGCAATCAAAAAGTCATGAGCATGTTTATAAACAGGAGAGAATGCCTCTAAGAAAATATGGCCATCAGGAGCCTAAAAAAAATATTAAATAGAAATTTCCAACAAGAAAATATATCTATATGAAATAAAAAAATAAAGATATATTTTTTTAATAGCAATATATTATACACTTAAAGAAATGGCTTACTTTGATCCATACTACGTAAAAAAATTTAAATGCTGCAAAATCCTAATCTTGCAATATTTTCATACTTGCATATCAGTACAATCAATTAATTAGAAGTCATCAAATTTTCAGATTGCAACAACCAGTGTTACCATTTTTGTATCCGCTCTTCTTGTTCTAAGTTTTAAGGGTTTTCATAGATAAATTACCAAATGTTTTATTCTAAACTCAGTTTAAAATATGTGCTAGTGGGATTTACTTGCAATTAGTTAGATTTGACATAAATTTCTGCAGGAATGCAGTATTTTGCTGCAAAATCACTAAAGGAAACAATTGACTTGAACTTATTCTTAAAACAATTGTCATGAAATTTTCTTCAGAATAACCGAATCAAATCTTGGCAAACGGGCTGGATGCAAAACAGATTTCTGGCATTCTTGACATGTAATATCAATGAGAGACAGTTTCCATTAAAAAAATCTTCCACCAAGGCATCCCTTAGGCAGATAGCCTTTGTGTGCTTTCCTATAATGTGTTTAATCTAATTCAATCCACCAGAAAAAAGACACAAGTATACTTGTAATTAGTTTGACTGATTTTTGAAATAAATACTTAACATAAATTATGTATGCCATAATCTGTATATAATAAACAAATTTTTACAATTCACAGCCACTATTCTCTTTGCTCCATAAAATACAGTCCAACTGTGCCATGGTGGTTGTACTAATGTATAACTACCATTATTTTAAATGCCTATGACATGAGGATGGATATTACCCTAAGATAAGAATTTCTTTTTCTACTTTGAAATTTCATTCTTAATTTCTGTATTTTATAATAGCTAATTACTTAGTACTATTTTAGAAGATAAAAGAGAAAAAATTCTCATTAACACGAACTTTATTGAAAGCACTTACCACCCAAAGTGGACGAGAATCGTGATCCACACGAAGCTGCATTAAGTTCCGATAATCTTTAGCTCCAAATTCATCTTCCGGAGTACTTTCAACAATTTGTTGACTTGCAGCAGCAGGAATAATTTCTATTAATTATAAATATTTGATTATTACTAAAAGTTTCAGCCATACATTTTCTTCCCATGCAATATTTAACCGTTTATTCATCATGAATGAGCCTAGCTTACATTCTTGCAATTACAATGCACATTAATCTACTCAGCTCATTAAAATGATTTCTATTAATGAAAGTAACTAAGTCTTACAAAGCACATCATTGTCCCTAGGTTCACATCTAAAATTGACTTCGTTACTGGAAATAACCTAACGTTCCTTAAGATAAAATTTCAAGAATTAAGCAGAAACTTAGTGAATAAAGGATCAGTCATGAAAAAAAAAAAAGAGGAGCAGATCCCAAACTTCACCAATGGCACCACCCACTGGTACTGCACAGTTAGTCCTCACAGCACTAACTGCACATCTCTGCCCCAATTTCAATGGAGAAGATCCCATGGGATGGATCTGAGGGTCTTTCACCTCTCCTTCCCTACCCTCAAATCTCCTCAAAGTACTTTTGACCTGCTAATATTTTAAGCACCCTCATTCTGCACAGGCATTACCGTATTTGACAGCATATAAGACGCACTTTTTTCCTAAATTTGGTCTCAAAAACGTTACTTGTTTCTTATACGTGAAGGTAATTGCATTCAATAATTGTTTATTTTGCTTTTACAAAACGTGAGAACTAAAAGAAACCATACTATTGAAACTTTTTTTCCTCGTGTGTGGCCGTCTAAATAAGGGTGCGTCTTATATGCCGTCAAATACGGTATATATTTACAAACACACAAACCTTCTCTGTGATTTGAATCTGGACCCAATGACAGAGAAGCCAGTGTTACTAATAACTATATTGATGAGGGAGGCATTTAATGAAACAAAAATGGCATTACAGTTAAAATTTATCCATATAACTATAGAGAATCGCATTGTATCTCAGTTTTTTTCATTCTATATTTTTGCAGTACTTCCACTACTCATATAGACTGAACTCTTGTTTTTGCAAAATACAAGCATAAAAATTAAAATTTAATGAGTAAGATAAAAAAGGAAAATAAATTTTAAATAATAATTATGGCAGATTTAAGTTTTGCAGCTTCTTTGTCATAGAGGTATCCAACCATATTTGTCGATTTTAGATTTGCACCAAGATCTCAGCTATAATTTTGCCAAATTCTTAAAGCACGAATATAAAAATAAACAACACAATATCTAACAATAACAATAGAACTCACGCCATTTCTTAAGAATATTTTTAAGAATGCTTCTTCTTCTTATCATTATTTTATCACATGTAATTGTTTTAGTCAACTACAGCCCTTTGACGCACATTAAGATGTTTGTTACACCATTTCATTAACATCAACACCTCTGTTCAAGAATTCATAAATCTAATAGCACTGCTATGCCAACTGATTTGTTACTATTCAGTACTTTAAAGAATTTAATTTCTATATGGAAATGGTTTCCCCCTTGTGTGTGGAATGCTATATACTGCTAATTATTGCAATTAGCAATACATATGCAATTATACACTGACTACCAATAAGTATTTGGACACCTATGCAAATGAAGATATCCTAAGGTACGTCACGGACTCCGCCAGTACAGTATACTCTGTGTAGGACACAGAATAGGCTTTAGTCGATGCGGAAGATTGCCTCACAGTTCGGAGCCTCTGATTTCGGAAAGGAAATTATCGGGGGGTATACAAATGTGGCGATCTTAGGACATTATCTAGCGATCTGAAGAATACCCAAAAATCGGGACAGGGCCTATGTGTTAGAAGTGGAAGTGAGCGGTGTTGTCGGAATGTGCCCCGAGTCGGCCACAGGAATAACGAAACTGGGAGATAGACGGAAAGACGGTGCTGTCCAGAAAAATTCGGAAGACTGATCAACCGATGCCCTCATCCGCGAGGGTTTCAACAGCATCCGGCGTATTGCTTCAATGAATACCATCCGTAAAGGAAGCACATCTGCTTGGTTTTCATGTAGTATGCTGCTGCCAGAAGCCTTTGATCACAACAGTCAACCGCGCGGCTAGGTTAAGTGGTGCAAAGCACATTGAAATTGGACCGTAAATCAGTGGAAAACGGGTTTCTTTGGAGTGACGAATCAAGGTTCACCCTTACCGTTTGGATGGCAGGGTCTGGGTCTGGATGGCGTCTCTACCTGGAGAACGTCTCCTGCAGAATGCATTGTGCCAACAGTCAAGTCGGCGGAGGTGGTGAATTATGTCTGGGATGTTCGTCTGGTATGGCCCTGGACTCATGGTAGCTAATCCGATGGCTACTGCCACTATGTTGGATGACAGTGTGTTCATAGTTGTGGAAGTTGAGTTTACGGGTTGGACCCCTGTTACTTTAGGACAACAATGCCAGTGGTACATGTGTCAAACGTTAACCAAGGCTGGGATGGTGCCAATGGAGTTAGTGAATGAACTTGCCTGCCCAGCAGTCCAGGACTGAACCCTAGCGTGAAACTCTGGGACGAGTTGCATCGCGAATAAGAGGAGGTGGCACTACTGTGGCAAAATCGGTTGTGATTTGATGAAGGAACTTCTATGTCTTCTCCAAGCCGAAGTGCGAAGAAAATACCACAGCTGTCATACAAAGACTGGGGTATGCCCCGAGGGTCCAGCTGTCATTACCTTCGTGAGGCTCTAACGCTATTGATTGAATAAAGTTAGTTTTTCTTTTCTATCACAGGTGTCCGAACACTTATTGGTAGTCAGTGTATTACCGGATTTCTATAAATTGCTTAAAATAATAAAATATAAGGATAGTTGCTAAAAGTATATTTTAGGGTACCCCTTGGCAAAACTTGGTGTTACACTGGATACCGAATTTGTGCAATTCTTTGACTTGTTATTTTGGCTTGCGTAGTGCCGCTACACAAAGCCAAAATAACAAGATAAAGAATTGCACAAACTCGTATCCATATACACATCGACCTATTTTCACTTAAAAAAAACCCTAGAATTGCACAAAAATGGCATTACACTGTCCCTTGACTTTATCCAGGTAAACATTGACCTATTTTCACTTAAAAAAGAATCAGAGAATTGCACAAACTATGCCTTACACACTCCCTTGAGTTTGTCCATATACACATCGATATATTTTCACTTAAAAGGTCAAAGGAGCACCCAATTCTACAGTAGAGGCAAACAAAAAATGCATAACTTCAATAAACTAACATAAAAAAGGAAAAAAACCTGTTATGCATTTAAGCACCACACAGAGCAAGTATCCACTTACCTTATTCACAAATTCGTTCATCTTCAAACTGTGGCACACAAAATTTCTTAACAGCATCCAAAAACTTCCTAAAATTACCTGAACTAGAATCCGTATATTGGCGTCGCGACATAAATTCACAAAAATAAGAGTAAAAAATACACTACATAGTTCTGGACTGTCCGGAAAATGGCTATTAAGATAACTATCATTTACACACCAGTCAATTAATGCACTTTTCTCCCTTTGTTCCAAATCATACAGAAACTTCAAATTAATCTTACTACATTCAGCCATTGTATCGTCTAAATAATGAAACAAGCAATGTACTTCCTAAGCAACACACACCACAAAAGTCCTTGCAAAACATCCCATGATTCAAAAATTTCTGGGAATAATGCAAACGATTATGTCATAGTAGGGTTTCCATAACATTCAACTACTCAGGTTACCATAAATGATACAACAACTTGGCGATAAATGAAATAACAACTTCGCGATAATACAAAGGTCAACTCAACCAGATAGTTTCAACTAACCATCAAAAGTCAACTCTAACCAGATAGTTTCAACTTTGCAATAAAAATACCAGTCTTTCTTTTAAAAGGACAAGTATTTGAATGGAAAAACATACCAGTTTCAGTATCATCATCAATATCCTCTTCAAAACCTTTCTTGTGAAATTTCTTTTTGTTCTTCTTCCAATCTATAAAGTTAATATTCATTATTTTCAACAACTATTATCCAAATTTATCAGTACAACCAATAAAAGAAAAAACAATGAAAAATTTTATGTGAGATACACCACTGAATTACTAGTTTTTATAATATAATCACAAACAAATTTTTCTGGTTGACTTATACTCTAAAGTTAAATACCATATTGCTTCAAATTTAAGATGTATTTCTTATTCAAATTTTTAAGATTTAAGATGGAAAATTAAGGTACTGCTTAAATTCAAAGCAGACATTTTAACATTGTATTATATTTACTATGCTTTTATATTTATATTAGTACATATTTAAGAAAGTAAAAACTCTTCTTATTTTTCAATGCCTTTTATTGGAAATTTACATTCCTCTTGCATCTATGCAATGCTGAAAACGAAGAGAAGTGCAGCTGTATATAATCTACAATAGAAGTCACAGCTACATATTGCTCTGTTTATCTATGTGGCCAGAGCCATGGCTATGGCTGTAGCTATAGTTCTCACCATCATGGAGCAGTGTTTCAAGCTAAGGAATGCTCATGTGGACGCTGCTGTCAAAGACCCGAGTGGTAATTGGAGTCCATTAGAGTGCGAGATTCAAGTCACAGATAGTATTTACTATGTAGTAACGAACTGCACTGAAGTGTCTGATGACATTCTATAATGCCAAAATGAAACCAATAGGTACGACAGAGCAGTTATCATGTCAAGTCAATATCTGTTTATATCATATTTTTTTTCATACATCGTAAGTTGACATAAATTGTTCATCTAATACTAAAATATAAACATGATCACTTAAACACAATTGGACATTTTTTTACAGACGAAAAGGTAAAAGTTACTTATCAGGTGAAAGCTGGTGGTTTTTATAACTTTTTTTAAAAAGATTCACAAACTATTGATATTTATTGCAGGTTGGCAAACATGATCAACGTATGAAAAGTCAACATACTTTAACAATTTAAAATACAAATTTTGATCACTAAATAAGGATTATGAGATAAACTAAAAAAATAAAACATGTATTCATCTCTAACTCTTACTGTAATTTTTTTTTTCACTTTCTTCTCTTTAGGTATGCAGTGGTATTTTTGCTTAAAAAAACACCAGAAAACTGCAAAGACTTGGCATCGTGCAAACCTCAGCAACATCAGCTATCTACCATATGCATCTTTGCTGTTCTCTTTAGAGACTTTGTAGCAAAACTCTTTTTTTCCCACAGCACTTTTACAGAAGTTTCTTCAACTGCTAGCAAATTCTACAAGTGCATATTTTAAAATTATGTTAAAGGCAAAAAATATCATGATTAGTTTATAAGAACTGTTAGAACTTGAAGTACAGCATAAAAAGTGCATACGGAAATGGCAACCTTGCTTGACTGAAGGACTGATATTCCGAAAAGGATATTCTGGACATCTAGTGAATTTTACTAAGCTTAATCCAACATCTAATATAAAGTATTTTTATTTTTTATTATTTTTGCAGTTTAGTTTCTACAGCGGCTTAAATTCAAAGCAAAATGGTATTTAAACTTTACTTGAAAGCATGTACACTGCAAAAAAAAAAAAAAAAAAAAAAAAAAAAAAAAGGGGGAAGTCTATACTTCGTTCTGGGCGATGACAAAGCAATTTGCGTTTTCATGTCTTCAAAGCGCGACTTAGAATATACATTGCATTTATAATTAGTGTTGTTCTAATATAGGTATTTTGACACAAAATCAGACTGTTTCCGAAATAATGTACCAATTTTTTCCCCCAATTCGATTTTCTACGATTCAACTATGCCTAGGATGTTAAATTTTGTAATTTTTGTACGTGAGATGAGAATTTAAGAATTATTTTGGCAATGTTATTCAGTTGTGCCAAAGAAGGTTTTTAAATCACTTGGCAAACTTCTGAATTATAAGAAACATACTTGCCTTTCCTTTTTTTTTTGTTCACTAAACAAGAAGCATGAAAAAAAGTCATCGTTCGTACTTCAAATAATTTAATAAAGTGCGGGGTAAACCCCATTTGGCCTCATTTATCGCTTATTTATAAAATGATGTAAATGGCAAATATGTCAGTTCACATACATATTAGGAAATTTGAATAAAATTAACAAATGCTTAACTTTTGTAGTAGGTTTTCGAAATATAGCATCACTTTAGATGATGGCAAAAAAATTTTATAGAAGTTAAAAACAAAATGTTTTCTAAAAAATTACAAAAATTATTAAAAATACAAATTTTAAAAATAAATCATAAAAAATGGGCAAATTTTATTTGGAATAAACCCAAACTTAGAAATGTGAAAGGCTGAATGAAATAAGTTTAATTAAACAAAGAAAGAATAATAAATATATGCCAAATTCAATTAACATGGAGGAGCTAAAATTTTGAGAATTATTTTTAAAAAATTACTTGTTCAATTTTTACAAAACTTGGCACTTTGGCCAAGTAACAGTTTTAGTTGTAGAATAGAAATACGGAAAAAAAAAAAAAAAATTGGCATGTCATTTCAGAATAAATCTGATTTTGTGTCAAAAGACCTACATTAAAAAAATGCTATATATAAATCTAATACATGTCCTAAGCCGTGCTTTTGAGACATGAAAAATGCAAGTTGAATTTTGTCAATGGACCCAGTAGAAAGGGAGATATAGAACTGTACCCCACTTTATTTTGCGCAGTGTGCATTAAAAAAATTTATGCCATTACATTAAAATGTTTTTTTACCAATACACACAAACCTTCTATTTTATTTGGTTAGAATACTAACCAAACTGAGCATTCTAATTTACTCTATTTTTGCTCATATGATTAAAGAAT